AGGCCAAATGCTGGGCATGGGGAGCTGCTTCTCCTGTGCCCACACAAGATCATGGCAACACGTGGGGATTTGGATTTGGTGTGGGAGGGAATGCAGCAAGTGAGTAGTTTTGTACTGAGAGAGCCAAACAGAAGCTGCACTGCTGGTGCCACATGGATGCTTTGTGAGACAGATTTCCAAGGGACAGCTTTTGTGGTGTCTGAAATAAGGGAATCATCTCTTCTCTGAATACCCAGCAGGCTGTTGGAGCAGAAGGGAAGCAGCTATCAGAGCACTCCAGGAAGGTCGTGGAACATGTACGGGATGTGGCTGCAACATCAGCAAAAGACAAGACAGAGAATCTTGGATCAACCACTGTGCCCAGGAGGACTCTCGAGCAGGTAAAGTACACCACCTGTGCAGAGCCTCAGGCTCCTCTGGAGCACAGCACGTTTGCCCAGGCAGTGCTTTGCAGTGCCCTGCTTGTTTCCTTGCCTCTCCCTGTCCCTGCTGCAGGCACAGCCTTTTGTTTGTTCTGTCTCTTGCGGCAGCTCATGGCTTTCTCAAAGGTGCCTTCACTGCACTGTCTCCCTCCCTGGCCCCGTGTCCCTGGACACACCCTGGCCTCTCTTGCGCAGCCCCCAGCGAGAGCTTTTTGCCCCCAGTGTTGTCTGGTGCAATTCAGGCTCTCAGAGCAGAGATCTTGCATTGATGTCCAGAGGTTCTTTTGCTCCATGTTTGCTGACAGGTTTCTGTGACCTTTCTCCCATCCAATGTGCAGGTGGAACCTGAAGGAAGAAGAATCAGAACTTTTAGGAGAGTGTTCCCCCCAGAGTCCTTTACGTTCAGTGTCTCCAAGTCTGAGCAGCAAAATAGGTCAACTTCTGAAAGAAGCTCCAGCTTCTCAGGGGAGCAGCAGTAGCCCTCCTGCTGATGCACAGCCTGTGGAGCAAGGGGTCAGTGGCCCAAATGTGTCCTTTGGAAATGAGAGTTGGGTTCCTCACTGCTGTTGGAACTCGCTCTGCTAGACCTGTGGGGGCTGAGGGATGTACGTGGGAAGGGTTTGGCAGCCTTGGACTGGACTTGTTGATCATCTGAGCTCTGTTCAGGGCCAGTCTGGGAGCCTGTTCCTTTCCCCTTCCCCGAGGGCAGAGTGTTGGTGAGGGCTGCAGTTGGAGGCTGTGTCTGCCCTGACAGCCGGTACCGTGGGGCTGTGGATGCTGCTGCCAGCGTGGGCTTGTCTGAGCCGGGCCTTGTGCCTCTTTCAGGTGTCCCTGCTGCAGTCACAGCTGGCCCGAGACCGACAGCACCACCTGGAGAGCTGTGCAGGGAGCAGGCACGAGACACTCCCGTTGAGTCACAGGGAGCAGAAGGGATCTCCTTGCTTCCTAAACTTCTCAGAGAGGAGCCATGGAGCAGCTGGATGTAGTATTAGCCTTAGATTTTGTCACTAGTTTATGTTTAAAGCATAGTTATAGGTGTAAGTGAACCTTTAT